ATTATTGAATTATTGAATTAAACAAATTATGCAAATTACTGTATGTGGAAATTCAATCTGATCAGGAGGGTATCCATATTTGTTCATCTTGTTCTTCTGTCCAAGTGAACATTTACCATTATTTTTTTTTTATATTAAATGTGTTATTAATTTACCGAGAAAATTATGTGATTTATTTTGATTAAATATACTTTTTAGAATTCCGAATCATAAATGTTTTTCATAACCCTTAACATTTTTTGATGAGAATTGGTTTTGTATTTTTTCTTTCAAAAAATGTTTTTAAAATGTTTTTTGTCTTCGGTTGACTGTGACCGTTGCTAAAATATTGTTGCATACATGTACAGTACATGTCATACTGATGCTTCTGCTTCACTCTGTTCTTATTAGTGTGGGAAATAAGGAACATAAATGGTAAAATATTAACTACTTGTACCTCCCACTATATTCAAGGATGTCTGTAGTGAACCATACCAGCAATTAACAATTTTTGACCACAGAGCAAATCGTATCTTGTCACTGGTTGTCCACTAAAAAAAGACTAAGGTTATAGTAGTTCTGAAAAGTTTAAATTACAATTGATGTACAACCCTGCTTTGGTAATAAATTAATCCTGTGGGATTACTGTGGTCTTAAATTAAATTGTAAATACAGTACAGGCAACGCGGATCCCGTATTTCCCGCGCCCCGCCGCGGTATTATCACAACGCGGTATTTGGCCAGGTGAGACAGGTAAACCGCGTTCCCTCCGCGGGAAATTCATCACCTACCTGTCCCCGCCGCGGTTAAATCATCGATCAATTACTGACAATTAGTATCGTAAACAAACGGGAGTTATCTCCCCGAATTGTAATTTGCGAATTTTCCCTGTAACAAAAAAGAATGACACTGTGTGTTTATTAATAAAAGTATTTTCATTTATTTGCTATGAATAGAACTTATAATAAACTAATAAAAGAAATAGGCTTATTTTTGTTTCTAAAATTACATATCAATCTTTGAAATTGAATAGAAAATTTTATTAAATGGTTACGTCTTTGCAATTGGTTAATTATTTTGTGTTATTAAGATTCTATCAAGAAACAAATTTAAATACTAGAAATTTTAATTCGTTTTTTTTTAATCTTCATATTATATGCAAACTGTAATAAATGTTGAACTCAGACTATTTAAGTATCGATAAACGATTTTCAGCATTCATTTGAAAAAAAAAAAAACAAGTGTACATCTTTAAAAAAATGTACATCTTCATGTTGTTTATATTCTTCCCCCAAATTTAGAACCCTTAATTTAATTAATTTCGATTTATTGTATGTAAAATGTACAGGCATTTTTCTTAGTGTCAAATTACCGGAAAACATTCGATGACGAGCGTTTGCAGTTACATGTAGTGGGCACATGAACTTAAATTTTCTTTATCCAAGATATCAAGAAAAAAATTCTTTTCTTTTTTATTTCTCATCGTTTATGTTCTGTTCCCAAATTTAGAAAACTTTTCTTTAATTTATTTCCCTTTTTTATATAAATCTGCAGGCATTTTTCTCAAATTGTCATATAGCCGGAAAGCATTCGATGGCGAGAGTTAACTTTGAGCACATGAAATTTATACAAGAGATGAAGAAAAAATATCGCTTTTTCACCTTCATATTAACATGTAGGCCTATTACTTTTGTAAACAATGTCTTTCTTTTTAATTTTAATATTTCTCGATTTTCATGTTCAATAGATAAGATAGGATGTGCACGTGTAATGATAAACTTCACAGACGAAATTAAATCAAAGTAGGGGGGATTACACTTAAATTTTTTAATAAATATTCAATGCAAAAATTCATATACTTTTGTTTTCTTTGACAAATTCTGTTTCTTTGTGTATTAAAGTATTAGCCGCGATCATTTCCTGTGTATAGGGATTAGCAGTGCCAGAGCAGGAAACGACATGCCCTGGGGGTTTCACACCTGTCTTAGAGTACCTTGGGTAACGCTTTAAACAAACTTTTAAAACAAATTAATAAAGTATTTGGTATTAATTAGATCAAATAATGATCTATTTTTATGTTATTTACGTGTCTGTTTATATCTGTACCAGTTAGTAGATTGAAAGAGAGAGAGAGACAGGAGAGAGAAAGAAAAATATCACAATATTAAGGCACGTGGATGATCGTTTTTCCTCTCTTTTGATCGGTATATTTAATTTCTTAAGTCGAATAAAACTACCGCTGGTTTATCAGTTTATTGACCATTTGTGGATTTTGTCTAAGTTTAATTGTTATTTACCGAGAGACTTGTTTATGATCCACTTTCTTCTTTCGTTTAGCATATGTACATGACATGCACTTTGAATTACTTCCCTTTTTGTCGCCAGATTAAAACGAACAGATTTTGGTGGTAAAATAAAATGTATTTTTGTCATAACATTTGATTAAAAAAACATGAGCTACACATAAAACAAGATTTTTTTCGTAGGAAAAACACATACAGGTTATACACTCAGGTAACATCCTGTGTATATAGGTAGTATACACAACACAGAGTCGTTCCCTCGGACGGTGTGTTCCCCGAATGGCTACTCGGAAAAAACAACAAGTAATTATCACACTCAATTAAGGGGCCCTCTAAGGGGTACAGGTAGATTTACCTGTGTTTACCTGGATAAGCAATATTTTATAAATCAGATATATTCATTCAATTTTATTTTAATGAAGAGTTTTTTTGTCCGAAATATACTGAATAAATATAAATACATGTAGATAAAATTAAGATTTAAGAGAAATTATATTTTTATTTGTACTTTAATTTATTTTTTTCCAAAGTATTCAATGGTATTGATTGAGGATTTACAAATTAGTATCCCCTTTTTGTGCTACGTTTTCAAACTCTTTTAAATAAATCAATACAAATGATTTTTTTTTCTTAAAATAATATAGATATTTTTGTATGATAAATAAAGTGTTTCTATAAAGTTTTGTCGAATTTAATTCATTAATTTATCATTTTTAATTATAAAAACATTCTTTCAAGTCATCATCAAAAATAGAAGTTTATCTTTCAATTTTAAAATAAATATACAGACTCTGCATCTGAACTTCTTCACCTTGGATAGTGATCCCTTAGTTGTGATGAAACATATAAAGATGGACTAAATAAATTGTAAATATTGTAAATATGTGTGATATGAAAGTGAAACAGTGCTATTTAATATATAATGTGAAAATCAGTGCTGCTTAACAATAGAACTTCAAGATAATTTATAGTTTTTAATGTGTTTTGTGCTTGTAAAATTAATTATTAAAAAAAATATGTATAAAAAATATTACTTCATATTAGTGCTAAAAAAATGAATTAAAAATCCATTTTCTTTTATTTGAATTCTGGTAAATTATTCATACAAGTAAGTACCTGTATCCCTTACAGGGCCCCTTAATTGAGTGTGATAATTACTTGTTGTTTTTTCCGAGTAGCCATTCGGGGAATAAACCCCTCGGAGCTTCTCAGCCGCTTCGAGTAAGCTCCACTCCACACCAAACTTACCTGAGGAAAACCGAACGGTTACACAGACACCTGAAAACTTGAAGCATTGTAACTTGCTGATTAAAATAAATTAATATCTGTGTTGTGTGTTTAAATATTTTAAGGGCCCATATTTGTGTTTGAGTTTTATTTGAACCGGAGAAATCTGAAATTGTTCATGTTCATAGACATGATTTTAGTAATTGTCGAAAAGAGCAGAAAATAGAAATACATTCAAATTCTAGCTATGATATTATTGATGACTTGTGATTATTTTATTAACAATACACCCCCCCCCCCCCAAAAAAAAGTCGATATTTAGTTTATAGTCTTACAGTGTAGCGCATAATAATGGAGCAACCGTATTCCTACACTTACACGTGTTTTGTTAAATTTTAATTGTAATTATGTATCACGATCAATCATCGTTTTTCATGCTATTATTTATAACAGAATGTACACAGTAGTAAAGGTATTTTTCTAAACGAAACCAAATGACAGATATAATCTCGCAGATAAATAAACACATAGCTACATGTAACTGCAGCTGCACGGGCTAATTGTTAACACCGGATTACAACTGCATATAAAAAGAAGCGATATCATGGCATTCTTTAAATTTTAATTATACCTTTTTAGCAATTTGAAGATCATTTGAGGTGGCATTATTGATTTTGAAAAAAAATATATTCGATAAATTATTCGACTTTATTTTATCCTATACATGTATTTCTGCTAACAGGCGTGTTTGAGAATTATTTTTGAGTGACTATTGGAAAAAAAAAGATGTTTTTTTTTGTCAAACAATTTGATAAAACTTAAAAATGAATTTGTAAAGAATCCATGTAATGGTATATATCTATGATTTTAATGTGGTCGTAATCTTCTCTCCCCCCACCCCCCCCTTTCCACACGATTAAAAATCGAAATACTTTACAGGTAAGGAAACCTAAGCTGAAGAATAACGGTAGCTGGCCCCGCCGCGGTGTAAACACGGTCTCAGGTAGCACCGCGATCAAAACCCGCGACGGTGTAACGCGGAAAGGATTAATACACCGCGGAGGGGACGCGGTCTAATACGGGATCCGCGTTGTCTGTACTGTAGATAAAGTGTAAAGTATATACCTTATACACCTTTTCCACGAAGTCCGAATGTTAATTTGAGGTTTAAGTTGGATATAGACTTAACATATAACAATCAGGACGGAATCACCTTGCAATCAGGTGGTTAAAAGAGATCAATTTCAGAAAAAAAATTATCAATTTTTTTTACTCTAAAAACGACGTGTATAAAAGTAATATTCTGGGTTATTAAAATTACTACCTTAAAAGTGTCAATTTTTCGTAAATTTTAAATTTAAATGTAAAAGCAAGAAATTGTTCAGAAATTGGTAGATAATCACTTTGGAATACTAGAAGTAATTGATGTGAAATATCTGACGGAGACAAATTTAAATCAGAAAATGCTAATTGCGTGTTTAAAAAGCTTACTCGTCTTTAAGCGGACGATTTCCTGCTTCTGCTTCATGGTTTTTACCACCAATCGGACATCGGCATGTTGGACATTTTGATTTTACCCATGCTTTTCCACACTAAAAAGTAAAAATACTTAAAACAAGAGGCCCACGGGCCTTATAGGTCACCTGAGTATTGTGCAACAACTTTCAAACAATTAAATTTGGTTCGTGTTTTAAACCAGAGAGGCCATATTCGCAATTCATAATTTTGAAAGAGGCACCATTGCTTAACATAATTATAGACTTAGCATGCTTACTCTATTTACTTAATACCCAGAGGTAGATCAGAGTAACATTAAGAGAAAATGCACTTCCACTTTATAACCAGTTGTGCATCTCATCCCAAAGGAACCACTGATCCTGGGGCTACATATTTCAAAATTTTACAAATTTTATCATAAAATGGTTTATTAATACCAAAGAGCAGATTTCAAAGCATTAATTTATTTTCAGACAGTGTACCCCCCCCCCCGACCCAGGGAGGGGCATAACAAATAACCATTTTGCTAGATACACCTTTCTTCATCATAGATATATATACTTGGATCATTGGCATAAAACCCAGGAGCAAAAGAAAGATTTTCAAAGAATTAATGCATTTTCACTATATGATCAATACAGCCCCGCCCTCACACCAGAACCCCTGACCCTGGGGCCATAAAATTAACAATTTTGGAAAGGGCACTCTTGCTCATCATAAGTATGTGCTTGGTTAGTTTATTTAATACACAGGAGCAGAGAAGAAGATATTCAAAGAATTTTATAAAAATAACTATTTACTTACATAGTTAATTTAATACCCAGATGAAGAGAAGAAGATTTTCAAAGAATTAATGCATTTTCACTGTATGATCAATAGAGCCCCGCTCTAACACCAGAACCCCTGACCCTGGGGCCACAAAATTCACAATTTTGGAAAACGCTTTCTTGCTCATCATAACTATGTACTTAGTTAGTTTATTTAATACCCAGGAGCAGAGAAGAAGATTTTCAAAGAATTAATACATTTTTCACTGTATAATCAATAGGGCCCCACCCTAACACCAGAACCCCTGACCCTGGGGCCACAAAATTCACAATTTTGGAAGAGGCTTTCTTGATCAAATGTTAATGCACGACGCACGACACACGACGACGGACGAAAACAGATAGCAATAGGCCACCTGAGTTTACTCAGGTGACCTAAAAAACAAACAAAAGAAAAAAGCATATGGAAATGAAATAAAATTGACAAAATCCTTAATCTTTATAATATACATGTTATATGTACATATGAGTCTTCTTTTCAAATTTAGTTAAGACTATGATTTTACCACAAAGTAACGACAATTATTTGTTTAATTTTCACATTTAACTTACTTCTCCTATGAAGTATATATGATCGTTAGGGCAAACTAGAAAATAAATATTGCATAAATATTAAAATATATTGTCAAAAACAATTGTACAACAATTTAAAAAAATTAAAGATTTGCTTTACTGAATTCCTCATATGTCGTATCTCGCTCATTTTAAGCAAATTAAAGTGTGCTTTATATAATGTTGCAAGAATCCACTTTAAGGATGAAAAAAATGTTGATACTTCGTTAAAATTGACATTTATCTTAACGCCTTTCCCTAGCATTTAGCTGTTTGTTTATAGCAATTCATATTTACTGTATGCTTCTGCTGTAGTCGAATTGGTTTCCCTAATTTTTTTGAGTTCACCACGAATAGAGATCTCACCAGGCATCGTTGGAAGATAAATCTAAAATGTTTGAAATACATTACTGAATTTTGAATATTAAAATTTTGAGGCATCAGCAGGATCATCGGCCTTGAAATTGAGATGAGAACATTCTTTTTTTGTGTTGTTAATGTACGAAATGTTGACTTTAAACGAGACTGATGATATTTTTGTTTCATCAACTTGTTTGTCAATTAATTTACCTCGTTTTAAAAATTATACATACATAGAATATACTCTTGCGTATCGAATCAACTGAGATATGAAAAGTCCGTATGTAGGCGATGAAGGCATAAGTATGTGATGTTGACGATTGAAAAGTTAAAGTCATCATGTTTATCATAGAGTTTGGTTGTTAGATTACCATTAACGTCTTTTTCAAGTTGAATATCCAAATATGAAACAGATACTGCAAGCTAACTTTTATTTGCGACGACTTTATTTTGCAATTTAACGGGGATATACAAGTTGGCGACGATTAATTTTTCGCGATCAAGCCTTATGGGACTTACTGTTAATAGATACAGAGACTTTAAGTACCAGTTCTCAGCGAGAAATATTTGCGAAGCTCGGGAATATTTCTCGCACGCAAATAAAAGTTGGTTTACAGTATGTCAGGCCCTGTGGTATCTTTTTTCTCAAGCTAATATATGGCAATGATGTAAGATTGGGAATAACCATTGTTGATTGAAATAACGTCGTCAAAGTACAATATAATACATTGTCAGTTGCGAAATAATGCAAGTAATTTAAAGGCAGACTTATATAACCAATTTTTACCAGAAACACCAATATGTGAATACTGTATTGACTCTGTTGAAGATGCTTATATTATGTTTTTGCTTTTTCAAAATATACCTCTCCAAGAAATATACTTTTCCAAACAATCCAAAATATTATTGATTATGATCAAACTAATGAACTTGATTTACTTTTGTATGGTAGTCCCAATCACGGAATAGGTATTAATATTCAAATATTTGAAGCAGTACATGCTTTCATCGCAGCGACCAAACGTTTTATTTGACACTGTCATGTATGTTACTTATGCCAACGCTTTCTAACCGGTATTACATTGTATTTTCCCCCTCTATCTACTTTTTTTTCTCATGTTTCTTTTTTAGTATGTTTGTCTATTTATTTTCATACCTATATATTGTGTGTTCATCTTGACCTTGTAGGGAGAGAGCTAAAATAGGCTTTGCCTGCTGCCCAATCCCATTCACTTGTGTGAATAAAATTTTGTATAAATTAAAAAAAAGTCTTAAATATATAAATGTCGAAGTGAAGGCCTCAGCAAGTGTTTTCTCTTTTTATAGTATAAGATTTTGCACAAATTCTCCTTCATTTGAATACAAAAATAGGTCTGCTTATAACGGGGCGCAGTTGGTACACATGGGAATTCCAATAGATTGTTGGAAGATCTGGTCTCCAAAAAACACAAAGATATTGTCAATCAAAAACTCAAGCATCTTTTTGATGTCAACTTCAAATTACTTGTGTATACAATCGGAGTGTTTTTAACAAAACAATTTTGCAAATGACCAATGACTAGGTAAGTAAATTTGCGAGTTCCATTTTTATTGAAAAAGTAGCTGTCAATGACATCAGAAAGCTTGGTCATTAACTTTTCGTTGGGAATGGTTGTGTATAAATTTGAAAAGTCGTAAGTATTTCAGCTATTGAATTTGGTAAAATCTTGCGATTTCAAACTGTCCAGGAACTTTAAGTATCTAAATTTGATTTACACCCTTCTCAAATATAATGTAGCACAGTATTCTTGAAGTATCTCCTTTTTTTTGTTCTGAAGTGTATTTATAGCGTATTAAAATAAGCATGCAATATTTGTCTTGATATACATAAGAATTTTTTTTTTTAACACAATTCATTTCATACAGAAAATTCATAATTAGTCATTGTGACATAATTGTGTATTTCTACATATAAGAGAAAGAAGGAGGGAGAAAGAGAGAAGAGAGAGGGGGAGGGGGAGCGGGAACAGAGTGAGACTAGAGAGAATTACAAAAAGAGTTGGTTCCACCTGTTCCACTGAGTGTCAATTTTTTATTTTTCACTATTTTTATGTGATATATATTTTTGTGTTTGGTAAAATTGATTTAAGTGTGATATTGCAGAGTGCACATTTAGTGTTTTTTCGGTACATCTAGAAGACTTTTAGTATAAATATAATATTTTAGCCATAAAATTATGATATTCGCTATTTCATTATTTTTTCCTTTAATGCCTAAAATAATTTTTTTTTGTTATGGGCAACTGGAGATTTTTCTGTTGAAGATGATATTCAAAATTTTCAAGGAATATTTGTACAAAATCACATTCCCATAGGATATGTTCAATTGTCTCTACTTCTCTTTGACAAAAATTACACTGCTTAGAATCTACCTTTCTGATTTTGAATAAAATGAATTAGTTGCCAATATTTCATTTAGAATTCTGTACTAAAACCACTGGAGTTTACAGTTTTTTGTAATTTTAAATGGTAATTTATGGATTATTTTGGATTCCTTGTTATCTAATTCAAATAATTCAATCCATTTCTTAAGACCAGCTGTCATAGAAGAGTTTTGATTTTATATTTCATAGAATGTTTTTTTGATTTTTTACATTTTGATACCAGATAAAAATTAGATGTAATAAGAGGATTTTCTGATTTTTGTAAATTTTTCTCAAAATTACTCCTTTTTATCCAAGCTTTAACTGCATTGATCAAACTAAAATATCCTAAAAAATTAATCTTTACATCTGGATAAGTATTGCAAAAGCATTCATAACTATAAAAAGTACCATCTACTCCAATGATATCATTGACATATCTAATGTTATTGTCAAAAAGTTTTTTTTACTATAAAAGGTTTTCCCTCCAATATGGACATTAGGGTTATAAAACAATGGACAGTCCACATTTACCTCAGAATTACTACAAATTTTATTCAAATCAATCCAGGACTTGAACACATAAATCCAGAATTTATTTTTTAAGTTTTTTATAAGTTGAGTGATGTATTCAATTCCACAGGATGTAAATTTATACATGTTCATATTCTTTATGAAATTTTCCCACCCTTTATTTGTATAAACCAGATGTCTAATCCAAAATAATTTCAATGAAGCAATGAAAGAATATAAATTTATCATTTTCAGTCCTCCATCTTCGTAGCTTTTAACAATGACATCTTTCTTAACTCTGTGTGTTGAGTTATTCCATAAGAATGAAAATAAAAGTTTTTCTAATTATTTACAATAAACATTAGATGGATTGGGATTGACATAAGTAAATGATTTGATACTGGTAAAGCCAAAGTCTTTATAACAGTAATTTTTCCTATTGATGTTAAAAACCTTTTTCCCCATTGACTAAGAATGGATTTTATTTGCACTAGCTTTGGTTGGTAATTTATTTCAGGCACTTTTTCCAAGTCAACATCAAAATTTATTCCTAACAAAGTTAATCTAGTTGTTCCCCAATTAAGTTGGTAATTTGGGATTAAAACCTCATCACTGTATTTTTTTTTTATCGAATCCACACAGTGTGTGTTTTTGAGTAATTATTGTATACAGGGAAATTTTCGCCCCAGTTTTATTTTCGCCCCTTTCGCCCTACCCTTATTTGGGCGAATTTAAAACGGGGCGAATTCAAAGAATACTGTATAATTTCTTAAACAAAATTATGACTTCGCGAATTTAAAACGGGGCAAAATTGTTTGCAAGTATGAAAGGGCGAAAATAACACGGGGCGAAAATAACCCTGTATACAGTAATACATGTCCAGACATATCCGAAAAAGTGTTCAAGGTTTTCAGTGTTTCTAAAAGAGACTCCTCACTTCCATCAAGAATAAGAGAATTATCATCCACCAGTTGAGATATCTTTTTTTCTACATTTCCAAAGGTAATACCTTTTATTTTTTTATTTTTCCTAATTTGTATACCTAAAATCTCAGCGCATATCAGAACAATATATGGAGACAAAGGGTCTCCTTGTCTGCATCCCCTTTGAATTTTAATTACATCAGAAAAGTTATCTCCTTGATTAACCGTAGCTTTAATATCAGTGTAGAAAAGAGTTACCCATTTTCTAATAGAAGGGTCAATATTAAAAAAGTGCAAAGTTTTTTGTACGAAGTTCCAGGAGAGAGAATCAAAAGCTTTTTCAAAATCGATTAATAATAAAAGTCCTGGAATATCTTCTTCTTCTGTAAAGTGCATTACATCATATATCAATCTTATGTTTTATCCAATATATCTGTTGGAGATAAAACCAGTTTGGTCAGAGTTGATTATTTTATCTAAATATTTCTTAAATCTGTTTGCAATAGAGCCAGATGCTATTTTGTATACAGTGTTTAGCAATGTAATAGGACGCCAGTTTTTAATGAAATGTCTTGGCTTGTCGCCCTTAGGTAATAAAGTTATAACTCCATGTCTTTGCGTAATATTCATAATATCATTCCTGTAACCTTAGTTAATAGATCTTACAACAAAATGCCCAATAAATTTCCAGAACATTTTAAAAAACTCTGTGGAAAAACCATCTGATCCTGGAGATTTGTTAGCCTTATTATTATTAAGAGTATTCGAGGCTTCTAAAAAGGTTATTTCGCCCTCTAAATCGTTTGATTCTTCACAAAAAAGTTTGGAAGCATCAGTATTTTTAACTCATTATCTAGATTTAAGTCTGTATTTTCTTCTTTAATGGTGTATAGATTTTCATAGAAGGATTTAATTTCTTTCAAAATATGTGACTGATCATGAATAATCTCGCCATTATCTATTTCTAATTTTGGTATAATTTTACTTGTAAAATTTCTAAACTCCAGTTTGCAAAAGTAGCTAGTGGGCTTTTCCCACTCCTCAATCCATCTTGCTCTACTTCTTATGTAATTACCTTGTAACTTGTGCTTTCTAATTTTCTAATTCTTGTTTTTTATCAAGTAGTTCTTCTAAATTCCTTTCAGAAATATTTTCTTCCATACATTGAATGTCCTCGATCAATAATTTTTC